TTAAGGAAATAAAAATCATTCGAATATATTAGAAAGGAAATTCAGTACTTAAAACCTTTTAATGGAGAAGACGGATATTTCATCACTTCATTTATTAAAAATATCAAAGACACCATCAACCGCATCGGTCCAAGTTCACTTATTATTGCTTAATTAATACTAGAATTTGATAATTTAAGATATCAGAATCATGAATTATACTGTTATTCAGAAAAAAACAAATATTGAAGCTAGGCCTCATAATAATAGATCATATGTGAATATTAGCTTTTGAAAGAATGATAGATGATATTGGTTATAGATTCATAAAAAATATCAAGCACTTTTAAACGAACTAATTGAATTAAGTGAATGCATATAATAGTAAAGAAATACTAGTAGGTCAAATAAAAATATTAATAGAACATATAACAACCAAAATACTTCCATTAAGAGGACAATTTAATTGTAGAAATTTTAAATCCATTTAATAATAGAAATTTTAATCAAAACTCAAACCAATTCAGAGAAAGAAGCAACTCTGACGTGCATTATAGGCAATTTAATCAATATTTAGAACAGTTCCGACACAAAAATTATGTTTTCTACCGAATTATGTATCTAAGAAACGAATTATGTTTTCTACCGTTGACGGATCTAATTTGTAATAAATTAATTACCTCATTTCCGATAGAATTTAAAAAAGAAGATTTTATACAATGGAAGGTAGTAAATTTACCAAAACGATCATGTGATGCTATAGTAGCATCATTATATAGAAATATAATACCATTAATTGATAATGACCACCCTTTCGAAATTGAAAAAATATTTAATATAGAAATTACAAAATAGAGTGCATTAATTTGTTATTGAAAAGTTTAGATTCACACCACCTTAATGAAAGAAAAAGATATTTAACAGAAAATTTAATAAAAAATTATGCAGATTTGTTTTTTAAAAAAGGCAATTAATTGACCGCCACTAATGAAGTAGTGCACGAAATCAAAAGTATCGAAAATCAGCAAACTAAGGCAGATGCATGTAATTTCATGTAAATTAAATCTCAATAGATGATAAGTTTCCTATACCTAATATGGACGACATATTAGATAAGCTAGGTAGGGCCCAACATTTAACTATATTCGATTTAGCGAAGGGTTTCCAACAAATCTTAGCTAAACCCATTAAGTTTCTACGAATTCGCTAGTAATCCGTTTTGACAGAAAAACGTTCCAATGACATTGTAAAGGCTAATGAATTTAGTATTTAGAGAATTTATAAATAAAATATGCGTAGTTTACCAAGACGATATCTCAACCTCGAGATAATTATAGAAAATTCATAAGAGGCTATGCAAAAGTAGCTAAACCAATAGTTAAATACTCAAAAAAAGACATTAGAATTAATACTAACGACCTGACCTACATTAATGCTTTTGAGAAACTTAAAAATTTAATAACAGAACATCTAATTCTTAGATACCCAGACTTTGAAAAAAGTTTTACTTTCACTCCAGACGCAAGAAACTTCACAATAGGAGCTGTTCTCTCTCAGGAAGGAATCACCTTGATGGGTTTTGTCATTTTATTTTCGTAGGTATGCAACTCTACTTTAGTTTCATTTATTTTTTCTTAAGTCTCTGTAATCTTGTTCTTAAAAAACATTGATTTTAAGTTGATTATTATTCATCATGTTGACCCTAAAGTTTATTTTGGCTTCTTTTAGCATCCTCTTTATTTTTGGATATTCCTCCGCACTGGTTAATATAACATGAGGGGTTTGATCTTTCTTGTAATGTTTGGTCTTTCTTGAAGTGAATTTATCTGCACAGATTTTTCTATTTTGCTAGCCTTGTCCTCAGGACTTATTTCAGGTGACATATCTGCTCTTCACTTTTTGCTTTATCTCTTGAAAATCCAATCGAATTCTCGAGCCAAATCCTCCTCGTCTGTGCAGAATTCCACTTTGTTTGTCGCAACTTTTTCCGTATTTATTATTTTTATTGCATTTACAATGCTTGATTCCAAGTTTAGCTTATTTTTTTCCCCTCTGAGATACTGGATTTCGTTTTTTAATTCCTTACAAAGCGCTCCTATCTCACTTATTCTTATATTTAAGTGGCAGTTATCAGTTTTCTGATCTTTTATTTTATTAACTGCACCCATATTGCTATTTTTCTGTTTGTCGCCTTTGGTCATATTTTCTCTTGCGAAGTGTTCTTTTAAAAGGGTCAGTAGTAGTTGTTTGATGCATTAAGTGGTCCTCACCAGAATGTGTGAGACCAGCCTCCGAAGAGTGTGGATTTTCCAGATTAACGAGATTATCACCTGGAGTATAAAATCTTTTTGCTTTGTTCATTGCTTGCATTTGTTTTTGTTTTATGTCGGAGTTTACTTCTCCTAGCCTTTGGCAATAAATACCTCGTGCAAGGCAGTGCGCCTAATTTCTGCCGTCCCTCAAGGATCAGTCGCAAACCAGACTGCCGTACATTCTGGATCAGGCGTTTTTGGATTTGTACTGGATTTCTATATTTAATATATTTTAAATATTTTATATTATATACGTTATAGTATAAGTTTTATATATACATTTTTAAAATTTTTGAAAATTTTGCACATATTAGACTCGATGGAGTTTCCAAGCTGGGTGAAAGAATGACGTAAGACTAACAAAAACACCAAGTGACATTTTCCTTTTTGGATCTTCCTTTTCGAGTCTCAAAATTTGAATTTCTAAAAACCGTTTAATTTTTACATGCTTATTCAAAAGTTTTGTAATATGGCAGGTAAGGCCAACTTTTGTATTTTAAAACTCATTTAAAGTTAATGAATTCTCTCTTTTGTCAAAGGTGTGTCAGTGGGTTCACAGACATTTTTACATAACTTCAGCAATATTTCAGTGCGAAGTCAAAATTTTGAAAAAGTTTTTTCAATAAATTTTTCTTTAATCGTCATTTATTCATAATTACAAGTTGCTATTTAATCGATTCTTTACAGAAAGAGTAGCCTTGTATTCTCACCTTCATTTTGATATAACACAATGTTGTAAAAAGCTCATAAATAATGTGTTTATCAGGCAAAAATCTGCGGCCAAAACATTAAAAAAAATCTGATGTGGTCAGCAAATAACCGACCGCAATGTGTATTGTTTAGTTAAGTGAAAGTGTTACAGAATATTATAAAAATGGCTGTTAAATACTTCTTTCCAATTTTTAGGACATTAGTAAGCTTATACTTAACATCCCTAGAAAAAAGTAAATTTGGGTATTAGTAGAGTTTCGCTTTGTGAAATTTCCTGAAATGCTCACCAGTCAGTTTTGTTAACAACCAGAACTCAAATATCAAATTTCAATAAATTCCATCAATTCGTTCCGTAGATGTGGTAAAAAATGTAAAATCGGCCCACAGATCAGTTTTCGAGCCCTGATCTTTCCAAAAAATTTATATGTCCATTGTCTCAATACGAATAATTGAAATATTAAATTTCAATTAAATCGGTTGATTCTTTCTTTATACACGCAAAAATGTAAATTTGGCCCGTAGTAAAGGTCAAGTTGCTGGCACCTGATTTCTTCCAAAAGTTAAGATGTTTCGCGGACGGTCGAGCGGAGCTCATGCATGAAGTTTCAAATAAATCGGTTGAATATGGTCTTCAGTTGAATATGGCTAGAAAGCGCAGTTTCCGAGCCCTGATATATTCCAAAAGTTGATCAATCTGTGCCATGGTTGAAATAAACATATATATAAAATTTAATTAAAATCGGTTCAGCTGAGCTTGAGATACACGTGTGCACACACAGAGCGACAGGTTGCTAAATACAGTTTATTTACACTTCCCTACCATGGAAAAGTGCGTTCCCAATGAAAACACGATATGCAAAATTTGTTGCCATCACATAACCTACCTATTGTATGCGCAATACGGTCGGGGAATATAGTTGGTCAAAGCTCGATTTTAAGCGTAAATCGCGTGAGTTAAGAAAAATAATTATATTTTTTAATGCAATGGAATTTGCCGTTAGCTTTTTGCGTATATAGAAATTTGAAAAAGCTTGCGGTTTCGGATATATAAAGCGTCAAAAATTCAAATTTTACAAATTTCAAGAAGCGATAAGTTGAGGGTGGAGATAGAAAAGAATTTTCTTTTAAGGAAATAAACTATTTATTAGTAGGGTATAACTTTTAGAGGGGGTGAGATAAGTAGAAATTTTGTTCTACTGAAATAAGTTTCTAGTAAAAATCTATGTACATATAAAATTTCAGCTTTCTATATTCAAGGGTGTAGAAGTTTTGTAAACTAAAAAATGTCCACGGACGGACGGACGGACGGACAGAGTGAAACTAATAAGCACTTTTTTTAAAAAATTTTGGGAATAGTGCTAACAACTAAAACAGTAAAATACTAAACAATTTAATAAAATACCAAGCAAAACAAAAAATTTTCTGAAAAATCTTTATTATTCTGTATTGTCCTTTTTTTGTGTCTTGAAATTATAGTCTATTAGATTACCCTACAAAATATTTCCAAAAATTTCTGTAATATCAGAACTACAAAGGAAATTTACGATTAAATTAAAAAAAAACAATAAAAACAAGCTTTTTCGCAACAAATTGATTACAAAGCTTGTCTTCAAACACCCATAAGCTATGCATACAAATCTGAGTAGGCAAACGTACCAACCTCAGGTGGGCCAATAGAACGACGTGTAACGCGATAAGGAAGTTGTGTCCCAAGTACCACTTGTGTTGCACAGATCCCTTGTATCTCCCCGACGCATGGATATTGACGCGGTGATAGGGGGCTCTAACTGGACACTGTCTGATTGGCGAATGTGCCGAAGAACGCCCTGCACACGACTCCTGTAGGAGGGCGCTTGCGAACCCAAGGCAAAAGTTTCTAGGATTCTACTTCTTGCAGTGGCTTTCGACTTAGCAAATGTAAATGTTAGAGCCATTGGACTGGTCCTCTAACTAAGAAATTGCTATATTTCATGACGAACTTAAAACACCCTTTTTTTAGTTTTAAAAAAAATATTTTTTTATTAAATGAAGATTAATTTAATGCAATCGAAAGAGCTTAAAGATAACAGAAGTCTTAATAAAAACGAAACTGGGAACCCCTCTCTCGTTTTTTCTAGGTAACTTTTATGAAATATATTCAAATATGCAAAAGCTTTGTTGGGAGTTGCGTTATTTACAATATCGCATTGTACCTTATTTTTCCTGGGAAAAGGGAGACAGCGATTGGCATGCATCTATAGCAAAATCACATAGGGCTGCCAACGTTTTGGAATTGCTCTCGTACTCTGTATAAAATAGAAAAATATGTATTTTGTTCTTTTTATTCTTTTAATTATTTAAATGAAAAAATTATACCAGTGTTGCTTCGTTTTCCAAATATGCTTCCATTGAAAGGTGGTTTTCTATAAGTTGACTCCACTGTTCCATAAAAACTTATGCTTAAGAATAAACAAAATGCGAATAATACAGAAAATCTAATAGAAATCATGTTTAATAGTTAAAAATCGGTTATGTTTTTCTTTATTTTTCTTTGTTAAGCTGATAATTTTCAGGAAACAACTGATGACAAATTGAGTTCACACATCCTTTTTATATACCACTTTTTCATCTGAAAGGTTAAAAATTCTACAATTGAATTATACTTTGTTTCTATAATTATTGGTTATTTTATTTTCAATTATTGCAAATTTCTTAAGGGAGATCTCCCACACATATAACATATTGTGGTGATTCACATCATAAGTAAATATATAAATGTTTCTGAATTTTTATAACAAAATAATTGATTACATTCAAGGAAAAATTAATATTTTGAATACTTTTGCTAATATGTACACTTTTGTCCACATGACTAGGCATGCGAAAATTATTTACATTTAAATTAAATGATCATTTTGTCTAAGAAAAATCTATTATACTCATTTAGCTTCCTATATCCACTACAGTGGTCTCTTATGCATTTTAGAACCTGTCTAATATGCTTGAAAAATTTCTTCCATAAGTGTATCATATATTTCCATATGTTTTGAAACTGCTTTGTTGTTTTTTGAAACTCTCTTGTTCAAAACTTTCTAATACAATGTTAAATATCAAAAGTTTTATCATATAGTAATAGCATATTACCGAAAATTTATTGACAATGTCACTGGAAATAGCATACTAAAATTTGCTTTTATATTTGCTTTTATTCTCATCACCTGATTCGAAACACATTTTATAAAGTAAAGAAACAAAAAATTTTAACCACACTGTACCAGTGGAAAATTAAATTTTTTTGTTAAAAAGTTCTGTTAAATTATGCAAATTAGTACCATGATCTTCCACTATTTAGTTTTTTTTTATTATCAAGGAATTTGAAAGTATTTGTCAATATCCTATGGTTACTTTTCTAAAATACATATTAATATTGGCATTTGGTTTTACCAAGCAATATTGTACTATTGCCTTATTTTTGAAAAATTAGATTTCTGTTAAGAAATATAATAATTATTAAGGTTCCATTTCAAAGTCCCAATTCAATAAAATAGTTCAATATAATTGTTCTTTTATTATAAAACATTCTTGTTTAATAATTTGCTAAAACAATATGCAACCACTGGGATTTTATGTAGATCAACAAAGGGAAAAAGTGAACATATGTACATATATAATTATCATCCATGTGTACTCGTATGTTTATACTATTCATTTTATCGTTAATTAATTTTTAGTTTTTCAATTATTACGATCTAAATTAAAACTAAATAAAAAGCTTGTTAATTTTCAGCAACACAAGTTTTGGCAAATACAATTTCATCACGTGCTCCGATCTATTCGGAAACTATTTTTCAATTACTATGTTCAAATATTAATTAGTTTTCCAAATCAAAGTTTTACTAGTTGACTAAATTTTGGTTATCGGTGTATTTCAAGTAAATATTTAAGATAGGATTAAGTAGTGTAATTATTAACTTGGTCATACCAATTAACAAATTTTTCAAAAATTTTTTTTTTTCAATGGTTGATAATTTTTCCGAAATATAATTCTTTTTTACCGACCATATTGTGTATACAATAGGTAGGTTATGTGATGGCAACAAATTTTGCATATCGAGTTTTCGGTTTGAATGCACTTTTCCATAGTAGGGAAGTGTAAGTAGACTATTTTTAGCAACCTGTCGCTCTGTCGGCCTGTCTGTCTGTGTGTGCACGCGTATATCTCAAGATCGGCTGAACCGATTTTGATGAAATTTTATATGTAAGTTTATTTCTACCATGGCACGGATCGATCAACTTTTGGTATATATCAGGCCTCGGGAACTGCACTTTTTAGCGGGCCTGTTTTACATTTTTGAACATTTTAAAGAAAATATTCAACCGATTTACTTAAAATTTAATATATAAGCTCAGCTCGACCGTCCGCGAAAATTCCTATGTTTTGGAAGAAATCAGGCATCGGCAACTAGACGTTTACTACGGGCCAAATATACATTTTTGTGTATATAAAGAGAAATAATCAACCGATTTCATTGATTCCTGGTATTAAAACAATGAACATATAAAGTTTTTGGAAAAATCAGGGCTCGAAAACTGATTTGCGGGCCGATTTTACATTTTTCACCATTTTGAAGAAAATATTCAACCGATTTACTTGAAATTTCATATATGAGCTTTGCTCGACCGTCCGTGAAAATTCCTAGCTTTTGGAGGAAATCAGGCATCGGCAGCTGGACGTTTACTGCGGGCCAAATATACATTTTTGTGTATATGAAGAGAAATAATTGACCAACTTCATTGAAATTTAATATTTGAATTCGTCGTATTAAAACAATGAACATGTAAATTTTTTGGAAAGATCAGGGCTCGCAAACTGAGGTGCGGGCCGATTTTACATTTTTCACCATATCTACGGAACGAATTGATGGAATTTCTTGAAATTTGATATTTGAGTTCTGGTTGTTACCGAAACTTACTGGCGAGCATTTCAGGGAATTCGGGTGCGAAATTTTACTAAGAGCCAAATTTACATTTTTCTAGGTATATTAACTATAAGCTTACTAAAGTCCTAAAAATTGAAAAGAAGTATTTAACAGACATTTTTATAATATTCTGTAACACTTTCATTTAACTAGACAATACACAATGCGGTTGGTTATGTGCTGACCACGTCAGATTTTTTTTTTATTGGTGTGAAAAGAAAACTTTCTTTTATTCGGAATAAAATACTTTTTTTATTTTTTGCTAATTATATTTCGTGCGCTACATATGCACTTTATCAAAGCTGATTTTCTTCTGAAAATGAGAAGTTATAAAATTTGGAAAGGGGAGGACAATGTCCTTAATCCTTCTTAGTTGGTTTTATGATTGGAAAGCTCAATTCCCTTAAATTAAATCTTGCAAATAGCACATTTATCTTCAACTTAAACCTAAAACATGAATTATACCACAAAATAAATTTTGCATAAATTTGAGAGAAATATTAATCTAATGATTTAAAAAAAAATATTTTTATTATACTTACGATTACGGTAACACTTTGTTTGTATAAAAGTATAAAGGAGCTCACAACTTCAAAAAAATAGGGAAGATTAATATGATATTTAGCGAACTCGTAGGTATAATAACATGAAAGGGAGATTAACTACAGAGAAATGCTGCTCTAGCAACATAAAATATTTTGCTAGCATTTTGCAGAGAGTGGTTAATTTGGAAATTCAATTCAACATCCTAAACTTTGCTGCCGATACGTAAATTTTATTACAGAGAAATATGTGTATCTTACAGAGAAATATTATTATCTTGATCATGATTTGGAACGAGAGCAATCTTTTTAATCGTGACTTGCTAAATATGTTTTTTTTTCTTTTTTTTGATATTGATATATCGCAATCGTAATTATAATAAAACAAAGGTACAAACCAAAGTGAAGGGCTGTACTGCTTAGATGCGTCCGGTTACACAGATAACACTTTTCTCATTTTTCTTATTGAAATCGTGACAAACTGGCAATTATATCTCCTAGAACTAGACCCTTTGCATATGCAAATCACTAAGACACCATTATGCAGTATAACTAAGAAAATATTCTAGAACCCAATTTAGTTTTTTAAATAAATACTTTTTGAAACGGCTTTTGAAATTTGAAAAAAATTAAAGAAAGAAATAAAAAAAAGTCGTCTAATTTTTTTCAAAAAAGAAGCAAATTTAAAATTTGCATTGTGGATATTGTGTCAAGCGATGAGGAGGGTCACAATTTACATTTGATTGAGTACATTTAAAATACTATAAAATTTAAAGAAAAACTTGCATAAGTTTAATTGGAAATGAAAAAGTATCTGTCAAATACCATAAGTGTAGACAGAAATTTCGTGAAAACTTTACTAAACATAACTGTACCAATGAAAAATGCAATTTGAATGTAGAGTATGATATCATTATATCCAAACTCAAATATATTGCAGAAAAAATATAAAATTTGTGTAACCTTGTAACATTTTTTTATGAGAAGTATCATGATATTAGCAAAGAGCTAACAAAAATTAGTGGATAAAAATAAAGGTATAAGGAACTAAATAAAATGTTTAATAATGAAATTATAAATTTATGAAAATGTGCATATAATCTTAAACGTGCAAATGTTAATAAGCAAATAATTTTCAAAATTCATTTTGATTTTTTGATTACCAATTTAGAAATTGTATATAAAGTTACTGCTGCGGTAAAGGCGTAAGTGCTGGTGTAAATGTTTGAAAACATAAGGATTGTCGTAGTATTAAAGCGACATACTGTGAAAGTAAAAAATTATACCGATTAGAACAAAGCACTTGGAAAAATGGAACTTATCCCAAATATGAAAAAATCTTTGTTTATGAGGAAAAAAAGGTTTTAAAAGACCTACTCGAATACAAAAACTTATGAATATTCGATGTGTTACCCAATAATACTGTGGAAATCTTCAAATATGCAAAATTTCAAAAATGTAGAATACTTGTCTGTCTATACATCAGCTGAAAAAGCGTTCGCTAAATTTGATAATGCCTCGTAAAACATTTTTTTAAAAAATAAAGAATTGTAGACACTTTGTTGGCAAAACAACCTAAAGATAATTCATCAAAAAGTTTTCGCTAAATTTGACAATACCTCGGAAAAAATTATTATAAAAAATAAGGAACCTGTAGACACTTTATTGGCAAAACTCTTTGAAGATAATTCATCAAAAAATGTAGTAGGTTCATTGAATCACCAGCAGTGATGAATATGAATACAGCACCTTAGAAGACCAAATTTTGTTAATAATACAAATTTTTTACTTTTAAGATTTTAATTTCGTTAAATAATGGATTTTTTCGTTATCTTTTTCTTATTTTTAATATCTATAATACTAACAATTCTTTTGAAATGAGTAATTCATAATTTTATTTAAGATTCTGCCTCATTTAAAACACTATGTTAAAGTTTATTAAAAAAATTAGATAAAGTGGATGAAGAAGTATTTTGTAATATAATTTATGGAAACTTGGATAGTAGCAACTTAATTGTAAAAATTCCGGGAGTATTAAGGGATG